CCTCTGCAGTAATGTTTTAATGTTCTTCGTTATTAAACATTTGCACATAAATAAGTGACATGATATTCAGTACTTACTTAAAGTTTACTCTTCGAGCATCCCTCATCCGCCGTTTTTTTTGGCAAAATTATCCACACCCACCGCCGCGCTATGCATTCTGGGATATATTGGGCCACGAAGTCTACACCGCCATCTCCTTAAAATTCAGGGAAATGAAGGAGGCATTTGAGGGCCGCATTTCGAGCAGCCTTCGAATTGGGACAGCCTTCGTCGCGTCGCGGTGACGTAATCGGCCTTAAAATGCGGCCTTTAAGGCTGCAGACCCTGAATTGGGATACAGCCACAGACTTTCACAATAAAACAGGAAACAAGAGACCATCACACAAAGACACAGACTCAACACTGAGAGGCAGACAGAATATAAACCATGGAACTCAAACTATACATGAGACAACAAATCCTTAAACACGAATAAACAGAAACATAGACTTCTAATAAAAATCAACAAAGCACACGGGTATCAGAAAACAATCCAAAATGCAAAAATAAACCAAAACACCAGAAACTCAGATCCATGCCATGGCAACAGTGATCAGTGAGATGCTTGACTACAAGTTCCCTCCAAGGAGAAGAACACTAGAGGCCAAGATCAAGGTAACATGGAAGGAAGTTAGCCAACTATCGGAGCTGCAGAAAGGTGAGACGAAGAAGCAGCACAGCAAGCTGTCCATCTGACGTCCATCTGAGGCCTTGGAAACTGCCAAGCAAAGACTCACAGCCTTGGCCAGCCACTTGAAGAGGTGTACCAGAAATGAAAGGCAGGAGAATAAACCAGCTGTTCTCCACAGAACCTTCCAAGGTGTACTCTCAGTGGCAGGGGAATAATATGAGAACAGCCAACCAAGGCTGGAACAGAGCAATTTCTGGAAGAGCATGTTGGAGAAGGACGCAACAGATAAAAGTGGCTAGTGGATCTAAGAGCAGACCACAGCAACCTGGCTCAAGAAGCTGACTCCACTCCATGAGTGTCTTGCATTACAAATGAGCCAGCTGCTAGTCAGTGAGAGACAGCCAGAATGGCTAACCGAAGGCAGAAGTTTAAAGGGATGATGGATTTCATCAGAGTGAATTCTTTTAACAAGGAAACCAGAATGACCTGCATCTATTAATCAGCCCTCTTTTTTGAAACCATTTCTAATCTGCACACAAACAAATTTCTTGCTTCCTGTTGAACCGTTTCAAGACTTTCTTTCATTTCATCAAACAGCTGAAACAATCGAAAGATAGTAAATGCATTTCTATCTCCCGATAGTCTTCAGCTACACAGCAACACAGTGAATGAGTGCTTGTTTCCACCGGGCTGCTCTGGATCTCAGACGGCCTGTAACCTTCAGCTATGAGACGCTTCCTTTCCTTTCCTTTGAGAGGTCATCGCCGCAGCAACACCACAGCTGGCATCCACTGTGGTAGCAGCAAATAATTAAGATGCATCCAAGTGAGAGTTTACATAAAACTGGGACTTTATTTTCACTTCTACAGCACATTACTCATAAGTTAATATCTGACATCTATCAAAGAAGGAACATTAAACAGTCAGAATGACTGAAAAGTATAACATATCTGTAAAAACACGACTAAAAACGGTCAGATGTGTGTAACCATTACAAGTGACTTATTGAATGTCTGTTTAAAAAATAAAAAACAACTTTTTTTTGGTTTCTAGCTGTTTAGAAAACAGGTCAATAAATCTGGAGTTTTGGTTGTATCAGTGCATTTTAAGTATGTTAAATACAA